ACATTGGCAGCTACACAACTGTAATGTACAGCTAACTCCACTTAAGGAACATAAGCCTTCAGTAGATTCAGAAAAGCTTTATTCAGTAAGCAGAGTAGATCACATTACATAGTTGTGTCAGAGTGAATTGCACTCTGGGTAGAAAATGTCATAGATATGGCTATATATGAAACTGAAGCAAATGAAAAAAGGTAACCTGAGTTCAGTTGGGAGACATGATGACTCATCATTTGAAGAGTCCTGAGTCACAGGAAGCTGAAGACAGAAGGGCAGGAGATGAAGTCAGCAAACTTCAATTTTGCAGAGTCGTGGCTATCAGGTGACAGGAAACTGGGTGACATACCAGTAGTGGGCTCGACTCAAATCCCAGGGGGAGATACTGTATTTAAGTGAATGAACTGAATGCTCAGTGTGGTTGCATTGTAAATAGGACCCTGGTGTAGCACTTTGCCAGTCTCATGTATATAGCTGTACTCAAGAATAAAAACCTCTTTGTGAGAACCAATTAGTCCTTTAGTTTGTGTCTTGCCAACAGCTTCTGTGTGGGAGGATTTTTTTTCTCTGCATCCTGCACTGAACTTCACAGTAGAGACTTTTCTGTGGTGTTCTGTTCCTGGAGTAAGTCTTCTGTATGTTGATCCCAGATCACACATGCTCCAACAAGGGTTATGGGCCCAGTATGCGCAAGGACAGTGATTGGATGATTGTGAGAGTTCTGGAAGTGTGTAGGGTTTGCAAAAGTTCCACTGTGGACTCTAGTGTTTTGGCAGTGATTGAGTTAATGCCTAACTGAGTGTCTCAGAGAGCCTTATCAATAAGCTGAGTGAGTTAGCTGTCTGCCTGGAGAGAGTTGGCCATTTGTCAAATGTCCGTTTGTCTCTGAAGGTTGAATGCAAAGAGCAAGTATGGAGACGGCTGTACGATTTGAAAAATTGAAAGATGGCAATTATGGAGCCTGGTTTATCTATGCAGAATCCCTGTTAGTCACAGGACCTCTGGGAAGTGGTGGAGGCATTACCAGATCACTCCCTATTGGAGGATGATAGAAAGGCAAGAGCTTTGATTTTGTTGACTTAGAGCTCTGTTGACTAAATCATGTGAGAGGGAAGCAGACGGCTTTTGAGTTGTGGAAAGCCTTGCATGAAGTTCATCAGTCTGGCAGCTTGTTATTTAAATTGATATGGAGTAAAAGACTGTACAGTTGCAAGTTACAAGATGGAGAGTCTGTAATGGAGCATTTAAAGAGAATGCAGGATCTTGTTTGTCTAGGTGGAGAATGGAGGAGTGGTATTAGAAGATTGTCAAAATACCTACATTCTTTTAGGAAACTTGACCAAGGATTGGGACTTCCTAATGTGCAGTTTGCAAGGAGTTGCTGAAAAAAGCCTGAGACTAGAGCTTGTTGCTTCAAGGATTTTGGAGGAAGTCCAGAGGCGAGATTTAGAGGCCAAATCAAAGAAGTGGAGAGAGCTAGCTGAATGCCAGAGCAACACACCCAGACATCCTTATCTCTGAGTGAGAGTGCTGCGATCTGCAAGGTGAAACATTGTTTTTCCTGGGAGAGACTGAGCATTTCAGGTGGAACTATTTTAAGCCTTCTGCAGCCCAAAAGGGATCATCTGCAAGGAAGAAGAAACATCAGGAAGGGAGGGGGGGTTGCTTCAATGGCAGAAGGGCTTGTTTGTAAAAACAATAATGATAATACTTGTGTGTCATCCTTGATAACAGATGGTTATGAAGTGGTTTTTTAAAGGGGGATGAGTGCTTAATTTCTGAAAATGGGACAATGTATAGTAAGGATGTGAAGAAAAACAAGGTGTATCACATGGTTTCAAATGTGCAATGTGCAAATGTGTCCAACAAGCCTTTACATGATGATTGTGCTCATTATTTACACAGAATAATGGGGCATGCAAGCTTCAGAAGCTTGGCAAATTTGGAGAAGGTTTGCCCAGAATTAAAAGTGAACAACTGTAACAAATACCTTGATTGTTCTGTGTGCAAGAAGGTGAAGTTAAAGGCTAATCCAGTCCCAAAATAAAGTAAGTGCACCACCATGAGGATGTTTCAGGTGGTACATGCAGATTTATCTGGTCCACATCAGGTGGAGAGTGAAGGAGGTAATAAACATGTCATGGTGGTGGTGGACAGACACACCAGATTCGGATATGTGGCTCTGCCTAAGACCAAAAACGATGCTGCTGTGAAATTTCAGCAATGGGTAAATGCCATAAAGAGAGAATTCCCATATAAGATTGATGCCTTAATCACTGACAGGGGAAGCAAATTTCTCAGAAATTGCAGCATTGGTTTAAGCAGAAGGGCATATTCCACCATACAACCAATCCAGTTTGTCCTGCTGAAGACAGTTTGGCCAAATGGCACAATGGTATAATAAACCAAATGCGGGACTACATGATGTTAGATGCAGGGACACCTCCTAGTTTGTGGGGAGAGACTACCAGAATAGCATGCCATGTCATAAATAGGATGTGGAGTAGTGCAGTACAACAAACTGCATATTACCTATTGTATGGAAGAGCACCCAATCTGCATTATCTCAGGATCTTTGGGCAACATCACCAGTATGATAGCATATCCCATCATCCCACATTAACACACATATTAAGCATGGTGGCAATTTAGCATGGCAGGACCATTTCTGGGTCATGATCCTGACAACAATATGGCTGCATTTCAGTTCCTGCTAGCTCCAGCTAGAAATTCTTCATGCACAGTCTCTTACTGTAATTCAGATCACAAATCCAGCATCAGTGTACAAGCTGTTTCTGACCCCCACTGTCTACCTCTGAGAAGTGCCACCTTATCAAGGTTGGATTCTAGCCCTGTATTTTAAGGACTCTTAAAAGCCTTTAAAAAAATAAAAACTAAACAGGTAGGGTTCACTTTTTCATACAATACTGATTTTCAAATCAGAGCTTTGAAAGGTCTTTCTCAAAAGTAATGTCTTCTATTACTCAGCCCTGGTGGCGCAGTGGTTAAATGCCTGTACTGCAGCCACTCACTCATAGACCACAAGGTTGCGAGTTCAATACTAGCCAGGGCTGAGGCTCGACTCAGGCCTGCATCCTTCCGAGGTCGCTAAAATGAGTACCCAGCTTGTTGGGGGGCAATCAGCTCACAGTTGTAAACCGCTTAGACATCCCATAGCGTGATATGAAGCGGTATATAAATAAGCTGCTTTGCTTTGCTTTTACTCATTGCAGTATTTAAAAAGGAACCTGTTCCTCTTAACTCTAGATGGTGACAACAAAAGTTAATGTGTTACATTACTTGTTGCTCTACTTGTTACTTTTTTGCTACTTTTTGTTAGTTTTTTTGCAAGAGGAAATTTTAAGATTTATAAAGAAAATGATTTAAAAAAATCCTGAAAACTTTCTCTCAAAATTTCCCTTAAAATGTCTTTAAGGGTCACTTTTGAAAATGAATAGAAACCATTACTTATTACTTCCAAAACTAACTAGTTACAGGTAAAAACATTACTTGCAATTCATTACTTCCAAGCTCTGGTCTGGAATGCTTACTTAAACACACATCTGCACCTTGTTTTTATCACATTGAAGTGCAAACAGGGAAAACATATAGCCCTAGATTTAGAGACAGGAAGCAATTCATAATGAAGTGAATACAGTGGAAGAAAATAATGCAGTTACTTATTTCACAGCTGTAGAGGTGAGACTAACAGAACTCAGAAGTCCCAAGATGATGCTTATTATGCAATATTCCAATCATATCCCTATTAAGGAATCTTTAAGCACCTGTTTTAAAAAGGTTTCCAGTAAGACACTTCTCCCATAATAGAGCCAGGATGTTTTAGTTACGCATTCATTGTCTTACAGAATAATTTATCACAAGATTCAGTTTTGTAACTTTAAACTATTGGCAGCTGAACGTTTTCTTCTAACAGATAGAACTACTCTAGTTGTTTTACTCGGCTCAGAAAATGAATATAACATTCAGGGCACCGTCTGACAAATGAACACTCTTCTGGCAGGAAGCCAGCATCTCTGTATACCATCTGGTAAATTCTGTATTTCTGTTTGAGGCTATTATCATTTCATCTATCTCCAGCGAAAATTTGTCTGTGGAGGTAATTGCATAGCCTACTCTTTCTGGTTTTGACATTTATTACTTCTACTTGCATATGTTTTCCTGTGTGGTTTCTGGGAAGAATGTCCACACAAGGTTAGACTTAACATGATGAACTTGCATTTGGAGATGCTGAAATATGCATCATTGCAGTTAAACCCTCGCTAAGTAAAGATGACTCTGTGTACTTTATCACCTTAGCTTTATATTGTCAGTTTATCATGGAAAAGGGATCAATCTAAAGCAAGACAGTTCACTCTTTCAGGAACAAAATTAAGATCATACTTACACTCCAGAATAAGACCTATAACAATATTTTGTCCCAGCTCTTGTGTGCAGAGTTCCCAAAAAACATCAGAGCTCTGTGTAAATAAGGAAAAAGTAAAGAGGTATTAGCATAGTAAAACTTCAAAGTAACATTTAGTTCGAATGTTGGTACAATCAACTGTGTCAAGTGCCACTTTTTACTTGCCCAGTCTTTACAAGTATACTTTTTAATATTTTTCCTCTACATTTTCCCCCAGTTTTTAGTTATCCCCAGTTTAGCAGTCATGAGTAGATTAGAAAACACAGCATACTTTTTAATAGAAAAATTTAAAAAATTGTTTTCTAGTAGCTTTACATTGATTTGTTTTTTCTTCATATCTACCTATATTCTTTTAATTTGCTAGTTTAGTTTTACTCACAGTTATGCCTATAATTTTTCAAATACCTTTAAGGTATTCCTTTTTATTAGCATTTGTTGCTGTTGTGTGTGTTCAAGTCATTTCCGACTTATGGTGACCCTAAGGCGAACTTTTGGGGTTTTCTTGGCATTTTTTTTTTCAGAGGGGGTTTATCATTGTCATCCTATGAGGCTGAGAGAGAGTGACTTGCCCAGTGGATTTACATGGTTGAGCTAGGATTCGAACCCTGGTCTCAGAATCATAGTCTAACGCTCAAACCATTATGCCACACTGGCATAATCTTGAATTATCAATGGTTAGATAAGTAATATTTTTTGCAGATAGCAACTGTTTTTCAGATTCTGAATTCTGAAATGGGTTCTCCAAACTAGATTCCTTTCTCCACCCATTATTATTACAATCATTTAATTGCAAGAATTGAAGCTGTTGTGGTTGCTCAAGTTCAACCATTTTCTGTAGATAATTTCAGCTCATATGTATTGGTAACTTCCATTAATAATGAAAATTTATGAGCAAACAGAATTATAATTTAAATTGATTTTATGGCTGAGTCTTAGAGGTTTTATGACAATATCCATTATATACATGGATATTGCATATTCAATGATGTTGCTGTTGCATTACTGTGCTTCCCATATGACTAAATATGTACCGTATTTTCCGGCGTATAAGACGACTGGGCGTATAAGACGACCCCCCACTTTTCCAGTTAAAATATAGAGTTTGGGAAGAGTATGACTTTCAAAACTGTTGTTGTTGTTGCTGTGCACCTTCAAGTCATTTCCAACTGATGATGACACTAAGGCAAACCTATCATGAACCTCCTTATACCCGGTGTATAAGACGACTCCCCCACTTTAAACCCAGATTTTGCAGGTTTAAAAGTAGTCTTATGTGCCAGAAAATAAGGTAATAATGAAAGACAGGAAAGTCCATGTTGATTCCAAAGTTAATAAGGAGTCAACTCAGATTATTTTCCCAGGCATTCACTAGATTATTTTCAGGATTTTTGCATGCTGCTGCAAATGATCACTGTGCCATTTTTAATTGCAGCAGTGCCATTGCATGGGCCCTGTTGCATTTGAGGTTTTTTTCTGTTGCCTATGGATAAATGGTCCAAAATGGAAGGCAGAGAGTGATAGCAGAAATGGTTTCAAGGAGACAGCTGGGACAGGTGAAATTAAAGATCTATTAGAGAGCTTTGGAAAGGCCCCTCAATTCCTTTATTTATACCCTGCTGGTTTTTCTTTAGATATATTTGATTACAGCTGTTTGCAGAGTCATAATGTGTTGTCAATGTGGATCTCAGAAAAGGTAATGAATTTATTTACTTGTGAAGAAGTTTAAGTGTGCCAAATGATATCTCTGTTATCTGTAGATTTCCCCATTTTGAGCTGTTGATGATTTAACACACAGAAGAGAAATGTGCACTTTGATCTGGAGTGGAGCAATGATGCTGTGCAAATCCTATTGAAATCTTAACTATATCTGGAGATATCAAATATTGAATAGTAGCACTGAAAAAAATGTTCTTCCAATAAAGTGTACATAGAATAAAACTGTAGTTTAAAACAAAGTCTTATTAACAAACCTGAAATGTAAAGACAGCAAGGAATATTCCATAATCATAATCCAGGAATTTGAGTGTGAAGGTGACAACGTGGCACTGCCAAAATCTCTTTGAAACCTTTTCCTCTTTTCCTCTGTGTGCCACTGCTACCACCTCTTTGTGATGGTACTCACACAACTATTTTCCTCTGATGGCAGCACAATGGGTCTTTTGTTTTAAAAAAAAAAAATCCCACCTCTGCCACAAATTTGTGACGGAGACATTCAAACCTGAGACTCTTTTTAAGTATCCCCTGCACTATAACTCTTTTAATCTCAGTCCTCTGGGTTCCAAATTCCCCCCACCCCCAGCTTGCCACCAACTATTTTTTGACTGCCACACACCCACTATCTAGTGTGTCCCAACTTGAAAGACTTTTCTCAATGTTGGTAGTGTTTTCAATGCATTTTTAAAATCACTCCAGACAGCTGCTTTTTGAAACAAAGTAATAGATTTATTTACAAGTCAGGCTGAATACAGTATCTTTTTTAGTGGATGTTCACATTGGATACAGTACTTAATGCTTTATTAGATACACAGCTTCACAGTTTCCTTAATTTATTTCTGTAACTGCCTTCTTATAACTTTACATATGTTCCCTTACTAAGGAGCTTATTGCTTGAGGTTTTAAACTGAACCAAGCCTCCCGGGCTGCAGCCGGGAGGTGGGGATTATCATATGTTAAATTGCTGCCGAATCACTGGCCACCCTCAGCCCGGGTCCCAGCTGGGCTCAGCCAGCTGAGACCCAGCCTGATAGTGGATGGCAATTCAGTGGTACAGCCTAGGAGGCTTGATTTGGTTTAAAACCTCAAGCAATAAGCTACTAAGGGGGGAAGCAGACTAGCACCATGGGGTCGCCCTGCGAAGGTGCGCCGCGGGACCGAGGCATCCCCACACCTTGATCCTGCGGCGCACCTTCCCCGTCCCTGAAAGGAGTGCTAAAATAGCGCTCCTTTCACAAGTCAGTGAAAGTGCCACAAAAGCTTGTGGCGCACTTTCGCTGACTTTTCCACCACAGCATGTCCAGACGTTGAGGTGGGAAGTTGCCTTCGGAGTGCCGGCCGTGCGGAGGGCTGGCAGCTCCGAGGGCAACCTCAGGAGGAAGAAGGGGCACCGAGCGTGAGGCCGCCCCTCCTATTCCCTACCTCCAGGACGGCTTTTTAAGCCATCTGCCGAGGCCCTAAGTCTTTCCTATTCTTTATTAAGCTTTTTATCTTTTAAGCTTTCCTAACTGCCTCTCTCTGCATACTATTCTAGCCTCAGGGTACACACAAACACTATAGGCCTAAGCAGACTGCCAGAAATAGTGCACATTAAATTGAGGCACTGCCCTGGCTCAGTGCTAGGGAATCATGGGAACTGCATTTTTTTTTGGGACATTGAGCCTTCTCTGTCAGAGAGCTCTGATGCCACAATAAATTACAGTTCCCATAATTCCCTAGTACTGAGCCAGGGCAGTGCCTCAATTTAATGTGCACTATTTCTGGCAGTCTGCTTAGGCCCTAAGCCTCCTGCAGGACACTACTTAAATTCAACTCAGGACACTCCTCTTCCTTATTTTGGGTCCCTCAAACTCTTTTTAGCACTATAACCCAGCCACTAAGTATAACCTTAGCAGTATTACCCAGCCACAAAACATCAATCTTCACTAACTGACTCTAACACTGCTCTGTCTCTCTCTGTTTTTCTTCCCCCTGGGAGAAGCCCCACTCTTTCCTGGATTTGCTCCCATTGGCTGTTGCCAAAATTCTATTTTGCCTGCAGTATTCACAATGAGTGAAAACATAATGGCTTAGGAACTTATCACACAATTAATTAAATCGCCTTAACTGATCTGGTTTAAATTTTAAATCAGGTGGCATTCAGACCTTATTGCAAGGGTTTTGCCACCAAAATCACTGCCCAGGTCCATCTTGGGTTTTTTCCCGCTCCTAGGGCCACTCCAGCAGCTATTTTCTCAAGCTGGAAAAGTCCCAGCTTCGAAAAAAGCCACGCTGAGCACCCCTGGGAGCAGGGATGGACCCAGGCAGTGATTTCGGCAGCTAAATCCTTGTAATAGGCTTCAGATATAGCCTGATTTAAAATTTAAGCCAGATCAGGTAAGAGTATTAAGTTAACTTTGCGATAAGCTTCTTAAAATAAATCTTGCAGTGCAACAGAATAATGTGAAAACATTGTTTCAGGAATGTAACACAACAAGGTCCAGGTTCCCATTTCATGAGCCATGAAATGTTTCTCTGGTTTTTGTGGTGTGTTGTTGGGGACAGGGGCATCCCACCTTCTCTGCTATTGTGTAGCCAGTGTTCCAGAGATCTATGTAGCCTTGCAGTGTGTCAGAATAGCATAGGACCAATTGGCAGCATCTCCAGGGGTGTGCTGGGAGTGCAGATTCTCCCTGTGTTGCATCTCTGAGGCATAAAAGTATCCCCAGGTGTGTGGTCAGTCATTCTCACCTTCCCCACCCTCCCTTTGGTTGTTTGTGACATGTTACAGTTTGTTACAGGTGAAGTGGTGTTGTGGTGAAGACATTTTACCCACTGGTTTGCCTGGATCAGTCCAACTGGATTCTTGCCTACCTCACAGCACCTTACACCATTATAATAATATAGATAGCAATAGCAAAAGCAAGTGCATTTCTATACCACTTATCAGTGAACTAGCACTTCCTAAGGGGTTTACAATGTGTAAGACAATTGTCCCAAACAAACTTTGTACTCATTTTACTGACCTACAAAAGGATGGAAGGCAGAGTTGACCTTGGAGCCCTGTCTGGGATCAGACTTATAACCTTGTGGCTGCAGTACAGGCCACTGCGCCACCAGATGTCATGGGTTCATTAAAATAGGCTGCATCTCTACTGCAGAAATAATGAATCCCAGTGGCCTTGTGAGAGTCCTATGAAGGAAGTTGTTTTGTGGCATTCCCCACAGAAGAAGCTGCTGAAGTGAGGTGGGGGAGAGGGGAGGAAAAGCCAAGTAATTTGCTACCAGGCATATGTGCCCCAGTCCCCTCTCCACTCGGACACTCCCTTCTTTTCCTTTCTGCCGTACGGTGGTAGCTGCCTTCAATGCACACATGGGACAGAGGGAAGTGAGTGTCAGGTTGGGGAGGGGAGGTTGGGACTTGTGCATGTGGTGCCTGCCACCTTTAGTGTGCACACATGACAGGGAGAGAGAGAAGAAGAGAGGGAAGTGAGTGTCAGAGGAGGCTGGAGCTCACACATGTGGTGGCTGCCTTCAGTGTGCACACAGGGACGGTTGGGTGGAAGATTGGTGGTGCTCGAGCTTTATATATTGTAAAGTCCTTTTATATAAGGAGATTGTTTTATAAAAATGTACCCTGTAAGTAGGCAAAATTCACAGAATTTTGAGTTGGAAGAGACCACAAGGGCCGCCCAGTCCAAGCCCCTGTCATGCAGGAACTCACAATCAAAGCATCCCTGACAGATGGCCATCCAACCTCTGTTTAAAGACCTCCAAAGAAGGTCTTTAATAAACACTAGCCCATCAGTGTTGCACATTCCTCCCAACCTTAAAAGTAGTTCTGACATTTCTAGAAATAACATCTAGGAATTGAGAAAAAGAGTGGGGTTAAAGACAGGAGTTTTCTGGCAATTAGTCCCACAATGGTAAGAGAGAAAAATGGACAAAAAAACAACATGGAT